GAAATGCTGGGTGCTGCGCAACAAGGAACATGTACACATTGAGGACCCCCAAAATATGGACAAGTCCTTCCGGGTGGGCGTCAGAGAAAAGGCACATTGTAAAGTTTTGCTGATTTCCAAAGATCATTCAAGTGAGCCGCACGTTTGCCACTAGTGGCCAGGGAAGGGATTTGCACTTTGGGCTTTTTCACTTATACTGTAAGACATGCAGGGATCCTTCCATGTTCAATGCTCAGAAGCGCAAATAGGCTTTAACCAAAAGGCAGGGCGGAACTTTTGACACGATAGGGACCACTGTGGACTAGCCCGCTCTGGTGAGAATCATAGAATGTTAGAGTCGGAAGGGACCTTGCAGGTCATCTAGTCCAACCCCCTGCACTCTACAGGAGCATAGCAGAAAGATAGCCCTACAACATACGCAAAAGATGGTCGTCCAGCCACTGCTTGAAAACATCCAGCGAAGGAGCATCCACCACCTCCTGAGGCAGTCTGTTCCACTGCTCAACCACTCTTACAGTTAAGAAGTTTCTCCTGATATTTAGCTGGTAACGACTCCCTTGTAATTTCCACCCATTAGATCTAGTCTTGCAATCCGTAGCAAGAGATAATAGATCCGCTCCATCTTCTACATGACAGCCCTTCAAATACTTGAAGACTGCAATCATGTCCCCTCTAAGCCGTCTCTTTCCCAGGCTAAGCATACCCAACTCTTTCAGCCTTTCTTCATAAGACTTGGATTCCAACCCTCTCACCATCCTGGTTGCCCTCTTCTGGACACGCTCGAGCTTGTCAACATCCTTTCTAAAATGTGGTGCCCAAAACTAGACACAGTACTCCAGGTGAGGCCTGACCATAGCAGAATAGAGAGGAACTACCATCTCCCGTGATCTGGACACAATGCTTCTGTTAATGCATCCTAAGATTGCATTAGCATTCTTCGCAGTCACATCGCACTGTAGGCTCATGTTTAGCTTGTGATCAACCAGAACACCTAGATCCCTTTCACATGTGCGGCTGTCAAGCCAAGTCCCTCCCATTCTATATCTGTGCCTTTGATTTTTTTGTACCTAAGTGTAGGACTTTGCACCTATCTCTATTGAAATTCATTTTATTTGTCTCAGCCCACTGTTCCAGCCTATCTAGATCATTTTGAATCCTGACTCTGTCTTCTTCAGAATTAGCAATCCCATTCAGCTTCGTGTCATCTGCAAATCTGATAAGCATCCCCTCTATGTCTTCCTCCAGGTCATTTATAAAAACACTGAACAACCCTGGGCCTAGGACCGAGCCCTGTGGCATTCCATTCGAGACTTGCCTCCATGCAGACGCAGAGCCATTTACGAGCACTCGTTTGGGTACGATTTTTCAACCAACCATGAATCCATCCAACGGTTGCACCATCCAACCCACACTTAACCAGCTTATCCTCAAGGATATCATGAGAAACTTTGTCAAATGCTTTACTGAAATCTAGATACACTATATCCACA